TTCTCACATAAAGAAATACAAATGGCAAATAAATATATGAAAAACTGCAACAGCATTGGCCATGTGAGAAATGCAAATTAAAACAACACTGAGATTCAAATCTCTCCCAAGAAACAATGGCTATCTTCAAGAAGTCAACCAACAACAAACGTTGAAGTGGTTCTGAAGAAAAATAAGACTTTTCCCACCATTGGTGATATTGCTGACTGCAACAACCACTAAGAATTCAGCATGGAGATTACTGAAAAATCTTTGACTGGAAGGCCCAATTAACCCAACTATTCCTCTTCTGAGTATTTGTCCAGAACTGAAAACTCCATAGCAGAGCGATACATATGTGCCCATGTTTATAGAAGAGCAAGTTTTCATAGCTAAATTCAGAAAATAATCCAAGTGAGGAATTGATAAAAGATATACTTCTGGTGAAGTGTATAGGGCCTCCTGAGTAAAAGATCATAACACCTGCAAATATGGATACTTTGAATTCTCACTTTCTTATTTTTATCCCTTTTATTTTGTTGCCTTCCCTGAACTTTGTCTCTAAAATTTCATGTATTTTATCCACAGGAAATGGTGAAAGTGGACACCCTAGTCTCAGTTCATATTTTAGAGGAAAGAGTTTAGTTTTCATTCATCTCATATACTGTTCAGAGTGGATTTACTGTATGTAGACTTTATTTTATTGAGTTAAGGTGATTGTGTACATAGATCCTTCAGGGCTTTTGTTGTGAAATGTTTAATTTTATTATAAGCTTCAGCATTGTACTGAGTTAATCATGTGATTTTTGTGTTTCATTCTATTGATGTGCTATATGATATTTATTTGGTGTTTACTGAACCACCCTTACAAATTTGAAATGAATTTCACTTGATAATAATGAGCAATGATCCCATTGAATTCACATTGCTAGTCATTTGCTGAGGATCCTTGACCATATGCTCATCAATAATAATAGCCCACAAAAAAATTGATAAAGATATATATATATACATATATATATGTATATATATATTTCAGTTATAAAGATAAACTCAAGGCTTTTATTGGTAAATGGATACAACTATAGGGCATATTCTTAAGTTAAATAAATCAAACCCTAATGTGTATGATTATTGTCTCCCTATTATAAGAACCTGAAAGAATAAAATCCAATTGTAAAAGAGAAAGCAACTTTTTCTAAGGGAAGCAATGACTGGGATGTGATAAAGGAGAAAAGAAAGAAAGAAGCAACTATGATGATACCTTGAGTAGTATGGCTGATATCTACAGGTCTACTGAAAGGAACAGTTAGTGGTCAAATTTTATTTTTGTTCTTTTTATTTCTTTTTTGGTTTTTTACCCAATTTTTCATGCTTCTATCTGATAATCTGAACAACTAATTTGAATACAACAATATGCAATGTAACAACCACTGCTGAATTCCTATTTTTTTTATTATTCTTTATTTTCTTTAAATAATAAAAATAAGAAAAGGAAAACACAAGTGTGCCTCCTTCCACCATCTTTGCTTTGGCAATTGAGAATGAACTCAATTCCTTGACAAAGAAACTCACCCAAGAACTATTATGTTAAACACAAGTGAAGCTCATGAGGATAACGCACAATACATCCCACAAATAAAACTGCATAATTTCAAGCTATAGGATAATAATAGAGAAACAGGCAAGCAACTTAAAAGTGCTTTCAAGAGGAATAATTCCAGTATAGAAAAACAGCTTAAGATCCAGATTAAAGTAATTAAAACAGGTCCTCCAGACAATATAAAAAAAAAAGGGGTCCTGCCCCTTAGCTCAGTTCTTTAAGTGGCTGCTTCAACAAAGCAGTCAGGCTCAGGTTGCTGTGGTTCGATCCC